AGCCTCCCTCTTTGCCTCCTTCTAGGGAGCCTCCCTCTTTGCCTCCTTCTAGGGAGCCTCCCTGTGCTCCAAAGTTCAGAAAGATGAAAACCGTGTCTCTCAGACTCCCTTGCAGCTAGAGTCCTGATAGTGAATTTACTTGTGCCAATTAGATGCCATCAAGCTGAGACGTGGAGGCAGAAGTGAAGCAGAGGCTCCCTTCCTACTGCTTTTGGCTGATCTCTGTGGGGCTGGCTCACATGCCGCAGTGTTTCCGCATCCAAGTTCCAGCTCTACTGGGGCAGAGAAAGGCAGTGGTGATGGCTTCACGTCCCTTGGCTCCGGGTCCCTGGGCTGCAGCAGGGGGGCTGCGTTCCTGGTTCCCGCCTTCCTGGCTGGGCCACGGGCAGTAGCTGCCCTGGAGGGTCAGCTCTGCAGTGTCAGGGAGGCCTTCCTGCAGGCTCAGGCAAGAGTCTGGGGCTCCCCTGCCCTTCCTTTTTTTTATTCCAGTATTAAGCCCCTTTCTGTTTAAAAAGCTACACTGGTTCCTGCTTCCTGCTGACTGACTCAGGACGTCAGGAAGAGTGAGAAGGCTCAGTGAGAACGACTGGGCAGACACACTGGGTAGAGAGCCACAAAGGCGGGCCCGGGGGCTCCTGCCCCAGCCAGCACTTCCTTCTCACGCAGACGCTCCTAGACAGAGGGACTGTCCTTTCTGCTGGGCCCCCATCCCTGTCTCTGGCTGGGCGGGACTAGGCGAGGCAAACAAAGGCACCCAGTGCAGAATTTCGGGACGTGTTCTCCCCAGGGCGGTGCAGGTGCAGGTGCAGGTGCAGGAAGGTCCCAGAGAGGGAGCGCCTCCTGAAACCTTGCACCCTGTGTGCCTCCCTTGCCCCCCCTCGTCCTGGCCCTGCTCACAGGTCTGACCTGAGTGGACCTGGCTGACCTCCGTGTGGGTGCCGAGAGTTTATGCCTCTGTGCACCCTCTGGCTCAGAGGAGAGTCTGTGAGCACCTTCTCTGAGGCTCTCAAATCTGAGCTCACTGTGCACGGTGCCTGCGTGAGGTCGCAGCTCCCCATCTCTCTGCGTCCCCTCTGCTGGGTCATCCAATCATGAGGCTGGATGAAGAGAAGCACAGAGTGCAGAACGGTGGAGGGGAGAATTCTACTTTACTCCAGCTGGACAGGTCCGCCTGGAGGGGCTACAGATCCGTGGGGAAGCCAAGGGGCTGGGTCCCGGGAGAGCAACTGGCGAATGGCTGACCAACATGCATGTGTGGAGAAGACGCTCTGCCGGGCCAGAGAGCAGGGAAGTGAAAGTAACAGGGCAGGAAGGCGCTGTTCCACCTGCTGCACAGTCAGAAGCTAAAGCGGTGGGTGACGCTGGCAGCACCACTGATGCCCCTGCTGTGGGGAAGGGTGGGGGCAGCGCCAGAGCACCGACAGCCTTGTTTAGGAGGAAAATGCAAGTGGGTGCCTCTCTCTCTGCTCCCTGACGGCCACGGACCTGCGGGAGGCAGACAGCAGAGCCAGTGGCTTCCCCGTCCGTCCGGCTGACAGTCACCTCTCGTCCGCCTCTGAGGGTCCCTGCGGAAGCTCGAGGAAGCAGTTGCCTGATACCACAAGGCCACGGGGTGGGCAGCCTTGGCCCCGGGCCGCCTGACCGTCCACCCTGCCCCCTCCGCCACCAGGCACAGGCCTTGCGCCTCTTAAGCGGATGTGAGTTCAGAGGCTGGAATGGCTGTGCTTTCTGACTGTCCTGTGACAGCCTTTCAAATCCTCTTGTTCTGCGGAGAATCAGGCTGCAGTTCCGAGATGCCGAAACCCGCCTCCCCCCAGCCACAGTCCCTGACTGGATTTGGCACTCAAGATCTCTGCAGAGCCCTCTCAGTTAGTTTTATAATAAACTTCAAAAAGCTTTCTGCGCTTTGGGTATTTATTGTTTCTGGACATAGTGACAAGTGAGGTTTATCCGCAGAGAGCCTGGAGTTCAGTAAAGCCTTTTGTGCTGAAATGTGTCCGTGGACTGAAACAGAATAAACGCGTGGGTGTTCCTTTTCATTGTCCCGCCCGTCTTCCCATCCCCTCCTCCCTCCCCCCCTCCAAGCCCTTATCCCGAGACGCTGCCAGCACTTCCCTCTGATCCCATTCACAGTCAGTAATTCATTCATTCAACAAACATTTGCTGAGTCCCTGCTGCTGCCGATGGTGGGGTATGAGAAGTTTCATGGTCTATTAGAAGCACACTGGTCTGATGGACAAAAGACTGAGGTCCTGGTGTTGTAAGAGTTTGGACGAGGCCCTTCCCTTCTCTGGGCCTAGCTTAATCACGTGTGAAAGTGAGGAGACAGACGAGAGGATGCGAAAACCAAGCAACCAGCCAAACAAACAGAAAAGCCATCCCTCACACGGTCTCAAGACCTCACACAAGTAGGACCAAGCGATGAAGGGGGCGCAGAGCTTGGCATGGTCTGACCAGGGCTCTTCGTCCAGCCCTCCTCTGTGTATCCTTTTACTCCTCAGGGTGGCTTGCCTCATGGTCACAAAAGGGTTGCCAGCAGCAACTGCCGTCACATGCTTCACAGCCAGGGAGAGGGGCAGGGGCATCGAAGGCACTGAGCACGGTCACCAAACCAGTTGCTTGGATCCGAGTTTATCTGGACTGAGTCTACTTTGGTTCCAGTGGGTCAGAGTCTGACTTGGAGAAGTTATTCAAAATTTTGACCATCACGCTCGGAAAGAGGGCACCACTTCTAACAGTCGTCAACAGAAGCCCAGGACTTCCAGCTGACTGGCTCACGTCTGAGTCACCCAAACCGATCCCCAGGGCGGGGGCTTAGGGCCACCCGCCTTAGGATTGGTCTGGAACAACCAGCCCCACCCCGAGGGCAGGGGTGAGGTCAGCTCTGCTCCCTCGGTGGGGTCACAGCATGAGGAGGCTTCCGGTTGCATGCAGGGGTGCAGCTCAGGTGTCCCCTGCCAGCTGTCCCGTCCCTTCCTGTCGGAACGCTCCTTGCTTCTAGCCGTCTACTCCACGCACACGACGTTGGGCAGGACACGCCGCACATTAGTGTCTCTGTACACCACTCTTTGAGTCTCATCTAGTCGCGCCGTCTGAGGGCTGCTGCCGCGGCTGGGGTTCTCCCGTCAGCCGCTAATCTGCCAAGAAGGCTCCTCTGAATCTGTAGATTAAGGAAAGGGACACCCAGGGACGGGGCCCTGCTGGCACGTGGTGTCAGCCTGGGCTGAGCAGGGAGGGCAAGACATCTGTGTATCTGCAGGGCGACCCCTCTGCCTGGCACTCAGATGGCACTGAATCCGTGAGCATTAATCAGGTTTTCAAAATACAAGCGTAATACATGGCTTGTTTCTAAAAAACTCAGCAGGCCCTGTGGAAACCACTCTTCCCCACTTCACATCTCCGATTCCCAGGGTGAATCCCAGGCACCCGCGTTTTTGCACGTTCTCCCAGTTAGGTGCCATACACACCCCCAAAGGTACGGACGGTGCCCCTGCATAGACGTGGAACCCGAAGTCCTTTGCCACGTGCACGCTGTGTGGGGATTACGGGACACACGAGTTTGCTGAATGAATAAGTGAATGCCCACAACCGGTTGGGGAGCTGTGCCCGTGAGAAGCTCGAGGGGGGGAAGTTACGCCACCTACAGCACGCACAACGGTCAAGCGGGAAACAGTTATTTTCACAGACAGGTTTTAATGTAGGGCGTTGATCAAAACCTGCCGGAGGACTGGAAGCACAGGAAGTGGTCCCTGGGGGCGCCCAGAGACAGTAACTGTGAAAAAGCAGGGTGGGTGGGGGAACGAAGAGAGGCTGGGTTTGTCAGAGCCCGGAAGCTTGGAGAAGAGACTGTAGAGCGAGGGGCGCCGGCTGACCGGTGCCCATGTGTCTGAGCGGGTGCTCTGCCTGGTTCTGAGAGCGTGACACGGATGCAGGGTGCAAGTGTGCGGCGGGGACGCTGCCAGGAGTAGGAAGCAAACGGGCCAGACGGAGCCCTCGTCTCTCCTCCTGCCTCCCGCGGGCTCCGTGCCGGCGGGAGGGAGCCCAGCAGGGAGCAGAGGGGAGGGTGGTTTGTGGAGTTCCTTCCCCAGCACCACCCAGTCGTGAAGAGAAGGATGGATCTGGAGCTGAGAGACAAGAGTGAAATGACCAGGGCTCCTTGTTTCTGTTCATTTGGAGTCTTTGTGCAAATTAGAAAAAACCAGTGGCTCTGGGCGGAACTGGCCCTGCGTCCGGGCTCGAGGCTCGGCGAGCAGAACTAGGGAGGGGCGCTTCTAGGAAGAGGCCCCTCTGCAAGGGCGCCCAGGGGGGCCAAAAATTAAGGGGTTGGGTCCTAGCCCCCGCTGTCCTCCCAGCCAGGTGCCCTGGTACCGGGCATGACCTGTGAGTCACGTCTGGCGGCCCTGCGTCTGTCCAGCGACCACAGACGGCACATTCTGCCGCTTCCGGGCAACACACACACACACACACACAGTCACGTGCGCAGAGGAGGTCACAGTTCCACACCGTGTCTGTGTGGCTGCAGAAGTGCGCGTGGAGACGGCTTGCCCGGAACACAGAGGGAGCTCTTGGTCCTCATGGCTCCACCCGCCCTGGGGACCGGGCTGTCGGGGTGTTCATCAAGCGGCCTCTGCAGTCCCTGGTGCGTCGTTCAGCTCCCTGGGTACCTGCCCCTTCTCAGCGTGGATGCCAGGGTCTAAATTATCACCAGCATGCTTCTCCAGACAAAGCCGTAGGAGACACGAGCACTTTCTCAGGGACGGCACGTTGGAGGTGACCCAGGTTGGAGCCGGGTCTCAGGCAGGAGGGGTTAGGCATGTCTGAGAGGCCACTTCAGAAGTCTTCACAGACTTGTGAAG